GGGGCATTTAGCCCATTTACATTTAAGGTTAATATTGTTATGTGTGAATTTGATCCTGCTATTTTGATGCTAGCTGGTTGCTTTGCCCATTAGCTGGTACAGTTTCTTCATTGTGTCCGTAGTCTTTACAATTTGGTGTTTTTGCAGTGGCTGGTACTGGTTGTTCCTTTCCATGTTTAGTGCTTCCTTTAGAAGTTCTTGTAAGGAAGGCCTGGTGGTGATGAAATCTCTCAGCAATTGTTTGTCTGTAAGGATTTTATTTCTCCTTTGCTTATGAAGCTTAGTTTGGCTGGATATAAAATTCTTGGTTGAAAATTCTTTAAGAATGTTGAATATTGGCCCGCACTCTCTTCTAGCTTGTAGGGTTTCTGCCAAGAGATCTGCTGTTAGTCTGATGTGCTTCCCTTTGTGGGTATCCCAACCTTTCTCTCTAGCTGTCCTTAGCATTTTTGCCTTCATTTCAACCCTGGTGAATCTGACAAACACGTGCATTGGGGTTGCTCTTCTTGAGGAATATATTTGTGGTGCTCTCTGTATTTTCTGAATTTGAATGTTGGCTTGCCTTGCCAGGTTGGGAAAGTTCTCCTAGATAATATCTTGAAGAGTGTTTTCCAACTTAGTTTCATTCTCCCTGTCACATTCAGGTACACCTATCAAATGTAGATTTGGTCTTTTCACATAATCCCATATTTCTTGGAGGCTTTGTTCATTTCTTCTCACTCTTTTTTTCCTCTAATCTTACCTTCTTGTTTTGTTTCATTGAATTAATCTTCAATCTCTGATACCTTTTCCTCTGCTTGATTGATTCGGCTATTAAAACGTGTATGCTTTGTGAAGTTCTTGTGCTGTGTTTTTCAGCTCCATCAAGTCATTTATGTTCTTCTCTATGCTGATTATTCTAGTTAGCATTTTTTCTAACCATTTTTCAAGGTTCCTGGTTTCTTTGCATTGGGTTAGAACATGCTCCTTTAGTTCAGAGAAGTTTGTTATTACTCACCTTCTGAAGCCTGCTTCTGTGAATTTGTCAAACTCATTCTTCATCCAGTTTTGTTCCCTTGCTGGTGAGGAGTTGTGATCCCTTGGAGGAGAGGAGGCATCATGTTTCTTGGTGATTTCTGCCTTTTTGCTCTAGTTCCTTCCCATCTTTGTGGATTTATCTGACTTTGGTCTTTGAAGTTGGTGACTTTCTGATGGAGTCTTTGAGTGGATGTCCTTTTTGTTGATGTTGAAGCTATTGCTTTCTATCTTTTAGTTTTCCTCTAACAGGCCCCTCTGCTGCAGGCCCACTCCAGACCCTGCTTGCCTGGGAATCACCTGTAGGGGCTGCAGAACAGCAAAGATTGCTGCCTGTTCCTTCCTCTGGTAGCTTCATCCAAGAATGGTACCTCCCAGATGTCAGTCAGATCTCTTCTGTATGAGGTGTCTCTTAGGATATTTGGGGGTCAGGGAGCCTCTTGAGGAGGCAGTCTGTCCCTTATCAGAGCTCAAGTGCTGTGCTGGGAGCTCCATTGCTCCCTTCAGAGCTGCTGGGCAGGGAGGTTTAAGTCTGCTGAAGTGGAACTCACAACTGCCACTTTTCCCTGGTGCTCTGTCCTGGGAAGTTGGGGCTTTATTTATAAGTTCCTGATGTGCTGCTGTCTTTTTTAGAGGTGTCCTGCCCAGCGAGAGGGGAGTCTTTGTCAGCCTGCCTGCAGAGTGTTGCTGAGCTAACACAGACTGTGCCCAGCTGCTGTGTAAACTTTCTGGCAACTTTGTTTACACAGGCAAAGTTAGAACCACCTCAGTAATGGCAGATGCCCCTCTTCCCACCAAGCTCAAACATCCCAGGTCGAGCTCAGACTGCTGTGCTGGCTGTGAGAATTTCAAGCCAGTGAGTCTTAGCCAGCTGGTCTTTGTGAGGGTGGGATCTACCAAGCCAGATCACTTGACTCCCTGCCTTCACCCCCTTTTTCTCCAGGGGAAGGAGTGGTTCTGTTTCGCTGGCATTCTGGGCACTGGCTAAAATGGCCATTCAGTTTTGTGCTGGAAACCCAGGGCACTGGTGTTATAGGCACCTGTGAGAATCTCCTGGTCTGAGGGTTATAAAGACCATGGAAAAAGAACAGTATTGGAGCTGGAGTGCTGCTGTGTCCAGAAGAGTACCTAATGCCTTTCCTATGCGAGGAGGGGAGTTCTCTGGCCTCTTTCACTTTCCTGTTGAGGCAATGCTACACCCTGCTTTGGTTTGCCCTCCTTGGGCTATACCCACCCACTGTCTAAGCAGTTTCTTTGAGATGAACCTGGTACCTCGGTTGGAAATGCAGAGACCACTCACCTTCTGCATTGCTCTCACTGGGAATTGTGCTCTGGAGGTGTGCTCTGGAGCTGTTCCTATCCAGCCATCTTGGTGGAAGTCCTGTGTTTCTTTCTTTCTTTTTTTTTTTTTTCTTGATGTATCACGTTTATTGATTTGCTTATCCTGTATTTCTTTAATATCAGTATTTTGAAAATTTTTTCAGGCATTTCAGATATTTCTTCTTCACTGGCATCTGTTGAAAGAGAATTATTGGGTTCCTTTGGAGGTGTCATGTTTCTTTGTTTCTTCATGTTTCTTTTGTGCTTATATTGATGTCTACACATCTATTCTTACAGTTGCTTCTTCCAATTTTATGGGTTGGTTTTTGTAAGAAGCCTTTTCCTATAAGTGTATCTGTAGTATCGGTTGGGTAAGTCACTTCGGCTTTGAAACCAGGGTGGGTGCGGTAGTGTAGTCCCCTTTAGCTATAATCAGCATCAGTGGTGTCTGTGAGTTCTTCAGTTGTTTAGGCTATGGTTGAGGTTTTGCTCAGCATAGGGATACCAGGTAAGTCAGTCCTTGGTCTCCATGTGGCATACGTGAGCATCAGTGGTAATAAGGCCAGGCAGGCTGATCCATAGGCCTCCAGGTGGCTTATTCAGGTGCCAGCAGTCACAGTGGTGAGCCCAGTGAGTGCCAATTTGTCTACTGCATCAGGATTTTAGTTCTCAGAGTAGGCAAACTCTTCTCCTGGCTTTTCAGGTCCCAGCTTCCCTTGACTGTGGCTCCTGAAAGATCACAGGCTTTGCTATCCTGGCTGCAGTGCCAAAATTATAGAGAACAAAGGGAAACCTACCCCTTGCCCTCTGAAGATTCACTGAAAAAGTTTGGAACTTTGTAGATACTTGTTGAATGGTTGTGACCAAATGCTGATAATGATATAGACAGTGAAGTCCAGGGTGAGGTGGTCTCAAATAGAGATGAGGAATTTATTGGGAAATATTGAGGAATATGCGAAAGTAGAAACCCCTGATAAAACCATCAGATTTTGTCAGACTTATTCACTACCAAGAGAACAGTATGGGGAAAACTGCCCCATGATTCAAATTATTTCCCATCAGGTCCCTCCCACACCTGTGGGTATTATGGGAGTGTAATTCAAGATGAGATCTGGGTGGGGACACAGCATCAAACCAAGGCACAATGAGGAGGCCAGTGGGACTGGAACAGTGGCAGTAAGGAAAAGAGTATTAGGAGATTAACTCAGAAAGGAAGTGTCAGGTTGGAAGATGTTACACTCTGATAAGGACTTCTGTATTAGTCCATTCTCACGTTGCTATAAAGAACTACCTGAGACTGGGTAATTTATAAAGAAAAAAGGTTTAATTGACTCACAGTTCAGCAGGCTGAAAAGGAAGCATGGTTGGGGAGGACTCTGGAAACTTACAATCATGGCAGAAGGCAAAGGGGAAGCAGGTACATCTTACATGGCTGGAAGAGGAAGAGAGCAAAGGGGGAGATGCTACACACCTTTATACAACCAGATCTCATGAGAGCTCACTCACTATCATGAGAACAGCAAGGGGGATATCCACCCCCATGATCCAATCACCTCCCACCAGCACCCCCACAGACATTGGGGATTACAATTTGACTCAATATTTGGATGGGGACACAAATCCAAACCATTTCAACTTCATATTTTAGGACGTTAGAAGGCGAGCCTCCATAGAGTGTTTTAGTTTCCTATTGTTATGGTAACAAATTATCACAAAGTTACTGGCTTAGGAAAATACAAATTAATTATCTTGTAGTTCTAGAGGTCAGATATCCAAAATGAGTCTTGCAAAATGTATTAATTTTCTAGAGCTACCATGAAGAAAGAACAAATTGGGTGGCTTAAAAATAAAAAACGTATTGTCTCACAGTTCTGGAACCTAAAATCTGTGATCAAGGTGTCAGCAGGATTGGTGTGAAGAATAATCTGTTTTATGCCTTTCCACTAGCTTCTAGTGGTTTGCTGGCTATCTTTGGCATACTTTGGTTTGTAGAAATATCACCACAACCTCTGCTTTCACCTTCACATGATGTTCTCCCTGTGTTGATGTCTGTGTCCAGTTTTCCCTTCTCTATAAGGACACTGGTCATATTAAATTAGGGCCTGCCCTAATGACCTCATTTTAACTTGGTTATCTCTATTAAAGACCCTATCTCCAGATAAGATCACATTCTGAGGTACTAGGGGTTAGGACTCAAGTGTATATATATTATATATATATTTTTTGGAGGGGACACAATTCAATTCATAACACATGGGGTTAAAATCAAGGTGATGTCAAGACTATTCCTTCTGGATACTCTAGGAGAGAATCTTGACCTTGCCACCCCTAGAGCCCACGTTCCTGGGCTCATGGCTCCTGTCAGTAATGACACCACTCCCACCTCTCCTTCCGTTGGCTCATCTTCTCTAACTCTCACTCTCTTGCCTCCCTCATAGAAGAACCTTTGTTATTATACCTGGAGAATCAAAGACAATCTCTTACCTTAAGATGCTTAACTTAGTCATATCTGCAAAGACTCTTTTACCATATAAGGCAACATATTTGCAGGTTCTGGGGATCGCAGGTTAGGGATTAGGGGATCAGGATGTCTTTGAGGGATCATTATTCTGCCCACTTCAGAGGGTTTTGAGCAGAGGAGTGATATAATCTGCATTGCATTTTAGAAGAATCTCTGTACCTGCTGGGTGGATGAGAAGAGTTAAAGCAGGAGACCCGGTAGAAGGCTGTAGCAGTGGTTCTGGTGGAGGAAGATGGTGGCCTGGACCAGAGTGGTTGCAGTGGAAGTGCAGAGAAGTTGTCAGATTCTGGGCATATTGTGAAGATTGACTTGCCCATGGACTGCATGTGACAGGTGTGATAATAACAAATAACTCCTTATTGTTTCTTTTTCAGAATAACAGTTAACATATTTGTTTACTACCTTACATTTTTTGACATGGTTTATACATTTATTTTCTCATTTGAATTCCCTATAACCTTTTTATATATCATTATTTCTACATTTAATTTACATAGGAGGGACTGGAAGATCAGAGAGGTGATTTCTTCTAGTGATTTTATTTTTAGTTGTTTTGAGTGAAGTTTTTTTTTTTTTAATTATCTTGACATATGCTTGATGGGTTTGAAGCACAGAAATTGCTAGGTAAGTTTATATTGGTGATAAAGGGAAACAGATGTTCTCTGATGTCACCTTTGTTTTATAAATAAATACACAAATTCCAAAGCCAGAGGTAGTTCCATATTTAGTTTAGTGAGGATTAAATGAATTAATATATACAAAGAGTTTAGAACGTTGTCTGGTACATGTAAGCCCTAATATAATAATAATCACGACAGTTATTATTTAGTATTTAGAGTCAGTACTTCTAAAAGATATTTGAAATGGCTATTTTAAAAAGGCAAAACAAAGAAAAAAATAGAGGAAGAATTTGTATTGTGAGTACCTAGAATAAGTCAGTTGCTGCAGTTAAATGTTTTAGTTCTGAGCCTCTAGACGGCTTTGTCAAAAACAAAAACACCGTTATGTAATGTAGTTCTTGTTGATTTGTAATTTTAATCAAATTAGGTCATCTAAAGAAACAGAACTTTTTATGGAATTCTAATCAAAATTTAATGTGCAGATCCTTGTACAAAGGGGCTTTGAAACAATTTTTTGGACTTTTTCTTAGCAAATGTATCCTATCAGATGGACTTTCTTAAGTCTTAAAGAAGGCCATTCAGGCATGACATTAAATCTTAATGCAATAAAGTCCTGTATGCATGTGCTAAACCCACATATTCTAGGTGCTTATTTTTTGTTAGTGTCCATTTTCCCTCCTGTTGCCAGAGTGACTTTTAAAAATGCAAACATGCTCAGGTTTCTCCCCTGCTTAAAATTATTCCCTGACTTTTCATTGCTCACAGTGGTGGTCTCAAGCTTATTTTAAGTCATGGAACCATTTCTTCAAATTAGAGCTTACACAGAAATACAATATGTAAACCAGATATTAGCTCTGGATGAAGTACAGGTAAGGACTTGGCATCTTCATTTCCAGCTTCATCTACCTCTCTCCTTGTACACCTTGTTCCATCCTCCAACCATCAGGATATAATCAGAACCCCTCAGTGTGGCCTAAACAACTTCCTTTCTACCCATAAGTTGCCACGCTGGCTGCACTTAGTTTGAACTTAGATGAAAATCTAACTTATGAACCAAACTGGGACATTTTTGAAAATAAGTTGTTAAAAAATTAAAATTATATAAGTTTTGAAATATTTACTTATTGTTCAACAAACTGGTTTTATGTTATTGTTAGGCATATAAAACAGTTCCATTAAAACTGTTTTAAAAGGTCATTCTAAAAATATTAAAGCAAAAATTAAAAAAAGCAAAAATAACAAAAAATTATTAAAGCAGATATATTGATTGACTATTTTAACAAACACAAGTGTACTAATTATTTTTTAAACATATCACTGTATTTCACTTAGTTTCTTAGTTGGGTTTGTCTCTAGGACTATAACACTGTTGCTCTTCCTCCTCCCTTCTCTTCTTTCTTTTTTCTTTTCTTTGAGTAAATAATGCCTTTTCCCCAATATGGTTCTAAAATGTTAATAGAATTGTCTCTAATCTTCAAAATATAATTTTATGATATGTAAATGGGAAATTTTTGATACATTTACTTCTTTCTGAAAATTGTATTTTTAATGAGAATATATTCTCTCTGTGAGTACTGAGGTAATCAGTAGTAAGCTCACAACAAATGCGCTAAATAGAAGATCTTCTCAATTCTCTTTTAAAATATATTAAAGTGAGTAAACATTTTAGCCTAGATATTTTTGTTTGAATCCAGAATACCTTTGTTTGACAGGCACTTTTTAAAAAAAATTGTACTTTAGGCTCTGGGGTACGTGGGAAAATCATGCAGGATTGTTGCATAGGTATATACATGGCAAGGTGGCTTGCTGCCTTCATCCCCCCATCTCCTCTACTGGTATTTCTCCCCTTGTTATCCCTCCCCCTCTTCCCCGCTCCCTGCTGTCCCTCCCCTAACCCCCGCTCCCAACTGACTGCAGTGAGTGATGCTCCCCCTCCCTGTATCCACATGTTCACTTCTATAAGACAAATCTTGTTCATGAAGGTTTCTCAGGGCCAGGCTGCTAACTAGTCCTAGTTAACTAGTGCTAGGCCGTGAGCTGGCATGCACTCTGTGCCTACCCAGTGGCTTCTGGAGTGGGTTTGAGGCACCCCCCAGTGAGCTTCAGTGTTGTCATCCTAGGAACTCGTTCCTGTGACAGCAGAAACTTTTTGAGAGCAGAAGGTGGATCCTAAAAAAGACAAGCAGGAAAGGGCTGCTTGAAAAATAAGATGTGAAAACAGGAAAAGGCTAGCCAAGAGTTCACTCTTGTTGCAGCTTTTATTACCCTTGTGAGGTTCCTGGATAAAGTAAGCCAGAGGCCTCAGGTGGAGCTCTCCTTGGAGGAGAGTGAGTGGAGAGCTCTGCTTCTCAGGAGTGGTCCCTGTACAAGCAGCAAGAGCACGTGATGGACTGGGACACCATCAGGGCCGTGCTGGAGGCTCAGCAGGAAGCTCTACAGGAGCTGCCACTCAGTCCCCTGAGTTCCCCACTGAGGCCATCAGGTGAGACCACAGCATGTTCCCCTTTGAGAGAGATGGTCCAGATTACACACTACAGGTCTCTAACTACCAGCCCCCTAAAGGCAGGTACAATGACATCACCAAGGTGTACACACAGGTAGAGCTGAAGAGAGAGTTGCAGCACCCGACCTTGGAACACTATGCCCTGAGAGTCAGAATGACCAGGGTTCAGGTCAGGTTTCCACAGAATTAGGCATGCTATTAATAAATACGTGTTTAATTTAAAAAGAAAAAAAGAAAAGGAAAAAGAAGGTTGTCTTCATGATTGTTTAGAACATTTCACCAAATTTAGGTTTGGCAAAAGAGTAGACTTCTCAACTTTATTTCATTCTATTCTCTATTCTGGAACAGAATGTCAATTTATCTGATTAAATATAGGAGCTCCATCAAAAGACTTTTCAAGTTGAAATATTCCAAAGTGCAGTTACGGAATTTCAAAATTAAGTCCTGTATACTGTTTAAATTTTTATTGTTGATATTTGTTCACGTCCTTGTTTTTGTACAAATTTTATTTGCTCTTTTGTAAGTTTTGTTTTCAATAGCCTTAATTCTCTAAAAAGCTTTGCAAGGTAAAGGTTTTTGTTCTTCCACTTGTTGAATGCCTTGATTTAAAATTTCAATACTTGTTAATAAAATGTGATCAAAATTTAGAAAACTTGTTTACAAGAGTTGTAGACCACTTACGTTGACTTGAAAGTAATTTATTTGAATAATCAAACATTTCAATTAAAGCTTCGTGATATGGTTTGAATTTGTGTTCCCACCAAAATCTCATGTTGAATTGGAGGAGGGGACTAGTGGGAGGTGACTGGATCCTGCGGGTGGGTTCCCCCTTGCTATTCTTGCGTTAGTGAGTTCTCATAAGGTCTGATGGTTTAAAGGCGTGTGGCACGTCCCTCTTCTTCTTCTCTCCTGATTTGTTATGGTAAGATGTGCTTGTTTTCCCTTCATCATGTAAGTTCCTTGAGGCCTTCCAGCCTCATGCTTCCTGTACAGCCTGTGGAACTGTGAGTCAATTAAACCTCTTTTTTTCATAAATTACCCCAGTCTCAGGTAGTTATTTATAGCAGTGTGGGAACAGACTAATATATTTCAATTAAAGATTTATTCTTGATAGGCCCAAAACATTGGCTGATGGGGAAATGGGGCTTTTAGAATACCAGATACATGTTAGGAGAGGGAGGAAAGTAAGTGAGCATGTCTTATTCCCCTCTGAAATGGTAAGGCAGCCATCATCTTAGCTGTCTATAGTGCTATGGGCCACTGGAAAACAGCCGTTTCTTAATGTCTTGGCCATCAGGAATGGTCATCCATCTGGCAAACATTTTCACTGTGCCTACCATAGGTTAGATATAGATTGGGGTGCTGGGGTTGCAGAATCAAACTCTTAATCTTTTCTCAGAATGAACCTATGACAGGTGAGAGGAAAAAACCATTTTACCAGCATATGCTGGGCCTTGCGATGGAGCTATAAACAGGGTCTTGTAGGAGCATAAAAGCAAGGAAATGCAGACTGCTTGGACAAGACAAGCAAAGGCAGCTCCTGAGCCGAAGTTGAGGACAAGTAGGCCTTACCCAGCCTGTCAAAAGGCAGGCATTGGGCAAAAAAGCAAGCATCTATGTAGCATAGTGACTGAGGACGCCTAGCATATTTAGGGAAACTTTCAAGTAGCTCTGTATCCTGGAAGTTGAGTTTGTGTTGGGAGTGCAGAAAGTGAGAAATTTGCCTAATATCAACTCATCAGAGACTGGTGAATGCTACAGGGAAAGGATTAGTGGCAATTTAGATAAATTTCTGAAACTTTTGAATTTCATAAAAGATGACCTCTCAGTGACAATGAATTTTATACCAAAAACTCTGTTTACTTTTGTATAGCCTTACTGATAGGTTAGAACAGGGCTATCTCTTTGAGATGACAGATTACAGGAGACATTGCTCAATTGATAGCATCAGTCTATCTTGGTCAAGTGTCTTAGCTTTACAAATTTATCATTTAACACCAACAGTACAAATCTTCATTTGGCGAATAGCTCAAAGATCAACAGGAAGCTGTCTAAAACTACAGCAGTGTCCAAGCAAGCAAGGCTCCACAGTGAGGGAGGAAGTGGAATGAAGGGGAGGAGATGGCCGACTTGAAAGAGTCCTAGAGTTTGATTGTGGGCCAGTGAAGCATTTCAGTTTTCTGGATAGTTATGAAAACTGAACTTATGACTCCAAATGTGGGTTCAAAGGGAGGGTGGGATGCTGAAATATGGTTTTTGCTATTGTGTAGGCAAGGTTCCTGCCTCAAGAAGAGGTTTGGCAGTAACAAAGGTTAGCTCTCCTCCTGGCCATCACTCTGGAAAGTGTTCCCACGACATGGCTGACTTAAAAAGTAAGTATCATATCACATGAGCAGTACTGAAAAGAGGCAGAGCTGAGGGGAAGAGGGAAGCTTCTGTGTACACATCAACTTTACTCTGACCACTGTACCTTTCCTTTCAGTTTGTGGGTGGCTTAGGAAACCAAAGTCAGACAACATAGTTGGCTTTTGGGGGATAAGAACTGTGTCGTTTGGATGTTTCTCGTAGTGCTTTTACAGGATATCCCCTCAAAAGAAGCTGAACACATTAAAAAAAGAAAGTCTGGCACATTTCAATGCTGCGTTCAAATCTTCTGTTTTCCTAAAGAGGCCATCAGGTATCAGTAGCAAATCACTTTTGTGGGTTATAAAAGGAAGGAGACTTGCAGCTCTAAAATCTTAAATTCTCTGTTCCATGTTCTATGTTTTATAAATAAGCATAATTGGTGTTCAGAAAAGAAATCTGCAATCTCAGCCTACTTCAGGATGTTGGTGAGATGACTAAGCTTTAAATGCCTTAAAAGTCAGGATGTTTGAGCAGAAGGGGGCAAAATGTCTAGACAGAACAGATGGTTTAAACTGCCTGGTGATGTTTAGTCGGAATTGACCTTAGCAGTTTTTCCTCTGGGTGAATAGCTTGTGATTTGTGAGTGTGAAGTGGTTGGACTGAAATGCTTTCTACTCTGAAGTTGTATGACTTTTTTTTCACTTATTGAATAAAGATATTGATGGAAAAGACATAATTATCAAGATAAAACTGTGTTTTAAAATAATACTTTTAAGTATTAGACTGTATTCCTTTGTCGTTATGCAAACCAAACCTTGAGAAACAAAGATTGATAAGATCTTGTGTAGAGAAAGTCAAACATTCCAGTTCATTTGGCTTTGTTTGTGCCATGTGTCTAAGTAACTGCAATCAGATAGTCTGAGAAATAAGAGTTAATCTGGGAACATTCTGAGTCTTGTTTTTAATGTTTTAAAATCCTTAGAACTCTTTTGCCAAATTCTGAGACTTAAAATGCAAAGATAAGGATGATTATTTTCAAAGCCAAGTGTGGAAATTATTTTTATAGTATCCCTCTGTGTTCCTGCAGTGCTATTGACTCTTGCAAAATGGGATCTCATCTCTCTTTACTAATGAGAACTCAAATCTTCCCTGGGGATTGGCAACTCTAAAGGCTCATTACTCATAGGTTTGATGTTATCTTTTTCTTGCAAATAACTGACGCTAGAGTCCTGAACATTTGCCTTTTAGCTTTTCTGTTTGCCCAACATTATGCTAATTCATCTGAAATGGAATTGTCAGTGGCTCCAGAATGTCTTTACCTTTCTTGAAAAATTGAAGTAATTTATCTTCACTGGAAGCCATAAAATCCTAAGCACCCTTTTTTTGCTTTCTTGGTCTTTTCTTCCAGGAGGTGGCGATAGAACATCATAAATATTAAAGTACAAAAGGCAAGCGTTTTGCCCCTCAAGCCTCCCATTGTAGAATTTAACAACCAGCATGAGTTACTATTCAAGATTTGAGGCTTGGGTGAGCTCTTTCATTGTAATATTTGACTTCCAAGTCATATCTAAAGAGAGCAGAAGTACTTTCAACTCCACTGATCACTTGTTTTTCCACTTAGCTTCTCATTTTCTGAGTTTGTGCTGCTGAGCGCAGGAATGTTAAAATAGGCTGGCCTCCAGTTGACAGGGGCTGGGATTTACCAGTGCTGTTGTAGGTTGGGCTTTTGAACCTAGAATTATTGCTTTTGCTGTAAACCAACATGGCTTCCATGCTGTTTTCTAGACATATGAGGATACTACAGACTCTATTTGAGACTAATTTTTAAAATAGCCCCTGATGTTCCCCAACTCTTTGTGTTTAGCTTTGTGTCCAGTATTCTTCAAGTTGGCATTTGGCAGCTTTTCCTCCTCTTAAGATAAGGTGAAGTTAAAAAAATTCTTTTAAAGGACATTTGTCAACAATTTCACAGGTAGCTTGACTGGGGAATGGGAATTTGGTATCCTGCTTATGCACCTGCCAGTTGATTTCTGATTTCTTTATTACAGGAGAGAGTTATTCCGAGGTTTATCATCAACAACTGTCTAATCCTAATAGGATTCGCTTTTAGAGTCATTTAATTTGAAAATATCCGCTGTTTGATTACCTTGAGTATTTTCTTAAAACAAGAAGTTCCTGGTTTAGCAAACAAAACTGGGATAGGTATGTGAAAGAGAATCCAGCAGAGGAAAATGAATACATAGAGAAAGGAAGCTTGTAAAACTAAGGGTGGGAACTTTCTATAGGGAAGCATTGAATAATTTTTTATTCAAGGAAATTTTAACTATATTGCAGTACTTCGCAATTGAAAACTGGAAAAGGTAAGTGCCTAATTTTAGTGCAGTAGTTTTGTAAGGGTTCTTTTTCTAACAGGAAAGTTTTTTTTTTTTACATTGATTTCTGTTAAAGTACATCTAGGTGGTCAACAAATGCTTATTTAATTCATTCCTAACACAAACATTTTTGAGTTCCTACTATTCACTGGAAGACATTTGCTCTCTAACAGGTAGAGACAGACTAGCAATTATCAGTAAGTAATGCTTTCTAAGAACACGTAGGTTTTTCAGATTTTGGTAATCAGAGCATGAAAGAAAGCCATCAAGGCCAGTTCTATGCAAAGCTGCAAAGCTAGGAAAAATATCAAAACAGCAGATTTTCTGGTTTTAAATTCTAGCTTATCATTCATTAACTGTGTGCCCATGGGCAAATTGCTTCAACTCTCTAAACTTCAGTTTCTCATGTAAAATGGGAATAATAGTACTTGGTGGCGAGTCTGTTGTGGGGATTTAATGAAATAATGTAAGTAAAGTATTCAGCATGGCACTCACTTGAGACTCAATAAGTGGTGACCACTGTGATAATTTCTGCTTGTCTCCCTTTAGCTGGCTTCCTTTCACTGCCCAGAGCTTGGCGCCTTGTGCTTGCTAGTTGCTGCTATTCTAGGAGGAACACTCCTCCTGCCTCTTCAACAAGACATGGGTGCTGTGATGCTTCCTTTAGGTCTGCCATCTCCAGTGGAATGGGGTTCTATTTCTAGAACTTACTTCAGGCTCCTGATCTCTGCATGATCCAGTTAAAGAGCCCAATAGAGTAGCCTGTGCCAATTAGGTCAGCTAACCTTCACCTTTACCTTGTTGAAGGAGGGCTGCTGAGACAGCCTGTCAATGTGCATCCTCCGGCATTCTGGCTTTTCTTCCTGAGGAGTGCTGCCTGTGGTCCTCTAAGAGTTGCGTTTCTGGTTCCAATGGCCGGACGGTCCAGGTATTCATCAAAAAGTGCGTATGAAGGGACTGTTCATTTCTAGATGTTGGGTGGACAGTGGTGGACAAAATAGACACTGGAGTCACATTGAGCTTGGAGAAAAATGGGGACAAAGACATTACACAGACAGATACACAGAAAAGATATTTACAGATTTGTTAAGTACCACAAAGGAAGTGGTATGAGGAAGAATTAGGAGTCTGATTTAGATCAAGAAAGTTTATTAATTTGCTAGGGCTGCTGTAACAAAGTGCCACGAGCTATGTGACTTTAACATCAGAAATTTATTGCCTCACAGCTCTGAAGACTAGATATCTGAGATCGAGATGTTGGCAGGCTTAGTTCCTTCTGAGGTCTGTAAGGAAGAATCTGTTCTATGCCTCTCTCCTAGTCTCTGGCGTTCCGTGGTTTTTGCTACACCATCCTAATCTCTGCCTTCATCTTCACATTGTCTTCTCCTGGTGTGCATGTCTGACTTCAAGTTTCCCCTTTTTATAAGGACTCCAGTCCTGTTGGACTAGAGGCCCATCCTACTCTGGGAAGACCTCATCTAATCAGGTCTGCAACAACCCTATTGCCAAACAAGTTTACATTCTGAAGTGTTGGGGATTAGGACTTCAACACATGAATTTTGTGGTTATGCAGTTCAAACCCCTGCAGTCAACAGGGAAGAGCTCTCCGCCGCAGAAAAGAAAGACAGACATTTTAGTGGTAGAAGTGTCTCTTGGGGCTGTACAATCATTCAGTATAAACAGCTGGTGCTCAGCCCTGTGTGAAGTTGGCCTTGTCACAGTAGCTTAGGCTGGGAATGGAGACAGAAAAACTCACATGGATTGTGTTTGTATATCTTGTTACTCATCTGATACTACATTTGAAAGTGCAAATTCAGTCTCCCACACAAGAAATGGGGCAGGAGGCTTTTCTTATTTCTTGTGCTTTGACATTAATGTGATGATCACTCTAGTTTAGACTTCTGGGTCACAGGGCAGAGGATGGAAATTTGGATAGTGTGAAAGATTTATATAATCATCTCACATGTCAGAGCTGCATGGAAATTTTAGATACTGAAAAAGTATCCTCTGTGTTTTCATCCATTCATCCATCCTTTGCACTGTGGTACTATGGTACTGTGGGCACTGTGATAGCTAATGGCAATAGAATCAGGTGATAGAAAAAATATTTAACCAGGCCGGCACAGTGGCTCATGCCTGTAATCCCAGCATTTTGAGAGGACAAGGCGGGTGGATCACAAGGTCAGGAGTTTGAGACCAGCCTGACCAACATGGTGAAACCCCATCTTTATTAAAAATACAAAAATTAGCCAGGCGAGGTGGCCCATGCCTGTAATCCCAGCTACTCAGGAGGCCGAGGCAGGAGAATGGCTTGAACCTGGGAGGTGGAGGTTGCAGTGAGCTGGGATCACGCTGCTGCACTTCAGAGTAATAGAGTAAGACTCCATCTCCAGAAAAAAAAAAGAAAAAAAAGATTTAACCACTCCTGATATCAGGGCACTGGCCAAAACCAATAACATCAGTAAACAATTGGTATGGTCCCCTGCCAATGCACTAGCTACCAGCCACATGTACAATACTTAATAACCAGCAATTGTCCTAGGTCTCACGAAGCTGGCAGCTGGCTAATAGAAATATGATGCATACACCTGTGTCATTTAAAGTTTTGTTTTTTATTTCTATTTTTCTAGAGTATGGGGTTTCATTTTGTTACCCAGGCTGGAGTGCAATGGTATGATCATGGCTTACTGAAACCTCAAATTCCTGGGCTCAAGGAATCCTCCCACCTCAGCCTCCCGAGTAGCTGAGACTACAGTGTGCACCACCATGCCTTGCTATTTTTCAAAATTGGTTTTTATAGCGATGTGGTTTTCCTGTGTTGCCCAGATTGGTCTTGAACTCCTTGCCTTAAGCAATCCTCCAGTACTGGCCTCTGAAGTGTTGAGATTACAGGCATGAGCCACTGCACCTAGCCAATTTAATGTTTTTTAAATAGCTATGTTAAAATGTAAGAAGAGACCACTGAATTTAACAATATATTTTGTTTATCTCAATTTATCATTTCAACATGCAATGAATATAAAAATTATTAATGCAATATACCACATTCTTTTTTAGTACTAAGTCTTCAAAATCTGGTATGTATTCTAATGCATTTAAAGCACACCTTAATGGACAAACCACATTTCCAGGGCTCAATATTCACATGTGGCTGGCACCTACCATATTGGATAGCACAGGCCTCAAGGATAAACGGATATCAGAGATCTAGCTCTCACTTTGTTAGAAAGAGAAGAGACCTACACAGAATAAATGTCCTTTGAGGGGCATTTGAAAGAGATGTAGTAGGGAGATCATGGATTGAGAGAAGTATATTCAAATACTAAATGAATATATTTTTCATTTCCCTTTCCTCCAACTTGAAATCATGTTTTCTTGCAGCCTTTCTGTCAGTGTGAGTCCCAGAAAAGTGGCGAGTATAAATAACAATTTGGGGAGAAGGAAATAATCTGAGGCAAGGCCCTGAAAAACAGGATAAAGAAATAAAAGAAGATTCTTCTAATATGAAGAAGAAAAGGACAGATAGAAGGGAGGGAGCAAGAGAGAGAGATGTCAGTGTCCTTGCTTTCTCCTACTCTCTTAGGGTTGAACTGTGACAACAGGTGAGGTCTAGAAATGTGTGTAAGCATGAGGGAATGTAATGAAATTGGTAGTAGTGGCCCGCTTCCATAAAGCATATGAAAGGGTACTAGAATATGCATCCCCAATATATGCCTCTTTGGCATATGAGTTATTTTGAACTAAAGCCATTGAGAACCAGCAAATGTAGGGAGAACTCTCAAAACAAGGCACAGTTTTCTTTTTGTGAAGGAAAGGTTGTTAAAATGTGCGCACTGACTGAAGAGACTTCCCAAACAGGCTGTGAGCAAAATGACTGTTTATTCACCTGGGTGTAGGTGGGCTGAGACCAAAAAGGAAGTCCGCAGAGGGTGGTGGGTTAGGAGTTGGTTATATAGGTTGGGGCAAGTGGTCAGTTAAAGGTGGTAATCTGTTTTAGGGAGGGAAAGGGCATCACAGGATGCACGGTCACAAGGGTAGGGATTATCTATTACAAATAAGCATGATCATAAGGGAGGGTGGGTGTTATCGGTTGCAAGCAGAGGAGTTGCAAGCAGAGGGGAGAATTACATAGTAAATTACATAGTTACACGGGTGGGGGTCTTGAGAAACCTAAGGTCCAGGGGGGATGTTTCACAAGGCTGAGCAGGAACAATGGTTGCAGGTTGAAGCGGGAGAGCAATTAGTTGAGGCAGGAAAAAGTTGTTTCACTTTTTTCTATGGCCACCCGGTTACTTGTGGTTACCTCAGACTTTCTGGCTTCTGGAGACCATCCAGAGGTGTGCGTGCAGGTCACCAAGGCTATAATGGCCAGGCTTGGACTCAGAGGCCTAAGAAAGGTTACATTTATAAAGGAAATTTCCATTTGTAAAAGGTGTCTTCCTCCACCACAGCAGGACGAGTAGGATTCTTAACAGTTCTTATCAATGGAGAAGGCACATAATTAAATCTTTATAATCTTATTAAACAACGGTTGGTTACTATACTTTTCCTGGTTATCCTCCCATAATGACCACCCAGAAGCTCAAACTTTCTTTCCTTTATTTAGCTTAAGATGTTATACAAGCCCAAGTTCTATCCATCCCTTGGGGTTACTCATTACTGGGTGCTCCCATGTGTACATACATGTGTTAAACTTATGTTTGTTTTTCTCTTTTTAATCTTTTGCAAGACTAATTTATAGGGCCCCAGCCAGTAAACTTAATATAGGTAGAGAAAAAAGGTTTTCTTCTTCTTCCCTTCGAGAGCTTGGGGAAGAATGTAAGCTTCTGCATTTAAATTGGCACCATATCTCAGAAGGTGAAAGAAAGGGCAATGGGGTAGAATGGGGTAGAATGGGATAGAGTGGGGGAGGGGGGCGAGGAAGAGAGAGAGAGAGAGAGAAAGAGAAAGAGAAACAGAGATAACAGGAAAGAGAGATGAGCCTGAGGCTGTGGGTAACACAACCTGCTCAGGATATCACAGGGCCTCTGTGTGCCCCAGTGAGGGGGTTTGGAGACACTCAGAGGTCGGATTACCATTAGGGGCTAAGAATCAGAATAAATAAATGAATGATTTGAGGACCTGTTAAATGGAAGCAAATGACTGGAATCACGGACTGTAATAGCCGATGTCAGCTCAGTGTCCCTGAAGGCCTGGGTGATATTGTGATATAGAATATATATTTGGTTTTCACTCCCAGTTCCTGGCCCAGAGCTCCTAAAATCCTGGTAATTTCCTGAATGATAGGGGTAATATAAACATCTTTTGTTATATTTTGTCTTAGTCCCAGGTCCCCAACACAGAGCCTCTAAGACCCTTGCAATCCCGACAGTGATGAATATCTTTTGCATGGTAATGACATGAGTTGTGGCTGGGGTCCCTAGAAAGCTGGGGGCGGCTCACCATAAAGACGAGGGCATAAGGAGAGAGCTGGAACTTTCATCCCCATTCCCTGATTTTTGAAGAGGGGAGAGGGGCTGGAGATTAAGTCAATCACCAATGGTCAATGATTTAATCAACCATGCCTACATAATGACTTTTTTATTTTTATTTTTTTTGAGACGGAGTTTCGCTCTTTTCACCCAGGCTGGAGTGCAATGGCACGATCTCGGCTCACCACAACCTCCGCCTCCTGGGTTCAGGCAATTCTCCTGCCTCAGCCTCCTGAGTAGCTGGGATTATAGGCATGCGCCACCATGCCAAGCTAATTTTTTTGTATTTTTAGCAGAGACGGGGTTTCACCATGTTGACCAGAATGGTCTTGATCTCTTGACCTTGTGATCCACCCGCCTTGGCCTCCCAAAGTGCTGGGATTACAGGCTTGAGCCACCGCGCCCGGCCAACATAATGATATTTTAATAAAAACCCTAAATGACAGCGTTTGGAGAGCTTTTAAGTTGATGAACACAGTAATGTGCTTGGAGGGTGGTACGCCCAGAGAGAACATGGAAATTCCACACTCCTTCCCACATACCTTGCCCAGTGCAGTTCTTCCATGTGGCTGTTCTTGAGTCGTATCCTTTAGAAGAAGCTTGTAAATGTAAGCAGTGTTTTCCTGAGTTCTGTGAGTTTGCTAGGAGCTGTGAAAAAAAGTTCTGAAAAAGGAATTTGGAGGAAAGAGACTTTTTTTCCAGTAAATAGTTTGCAAACTGGCAGAAGCAGCCTCTGGAATAAAAGTAAGCTACTTTCCAGAGAAAAAAAGAGAGAGTTCCACTTTTACACCAAAATTCAGGTCCAGGTTCCCGACCAGGTCTATTTATACAAATGGGGATTGAAACTCACTAATTCTGATTGGTTGGCACAGCTAAGTTCTGATTGGTCAATATAGCTGATATTTGATTGGTTGGCTTCCAAGCCCTGCACCAGAAGTCTCTGTCAGATGATTCTAACACCCAGTAGGGGTGTTTCAGGCCACGGTTTATCCTGTTACCAACAACAGGAACTGGTTTGACTTAATTGTAGAAAGGGAAGTCCTGTGGTACTTTTACAATATCCTTCTGAGAACACAGAGTAAGTGGCTGCCCCCTCACTCAGCCATGCTGCCTGGTTCTGTTTTAACGTTGAGCACCTCGAAATGTCCATTTGTCAAAATGGGAACCCCTGATTTATAGCCAGTTGGTCAGAGCATGGGAGGTCTGAACTTGGGATTGGCATCATCTGCAATCAAGGTAAGTCTTGTTGTGGGGCTGGGCCCTTAACTTATGGAATCTGATGCCGGCTCCAGGTACATAGTGTTAGAATTGAATTGAATTGTAGGACACCCAGTAGGTGTCCTGAGAGTTAGAGAATTGGTTAATATGGGACCCTCCTCCCCTCACCAGTGTTTGGTGTCCTGTGAATAGAAGTAGATCTACCCTTGTAGCTAGAAGACACACAAGGGACCAGAGTACATCGTAGAGGGCCAAGGCAAAGCATTGTAGAGGAGGAAAACTTGCCTCCTTCTACCTTTTCAGGTTCTTGTTGGTCTAGAAATTAAATTGACATAGGATTAACAGAAGAAAACAGTTTTAATTATGTACATGTGCATGGCAGTCCCACAAAAGAATGATACTTAAAGAAGTGGTCGGATGAGGTTTATATATCACCTGGAATTACAGAAAAGAATAGGGATTTGGGGTTGAGGGAAATTATAGGCAGGTGGGAGAAAAGGCCAAATTAAGGGGAGATGGCCATGAAAAGCACGTTAAACAAAGTAAGGTTTGTTACGTTTTCTCGGTTGATTGAGTCCCTAGAGATTTAGTTGACTTTTTCTTTCTGGTGCAGAGAGGGAAACACCACTACAAATGGAAGTTTCCTTTATTGATGTGAATTTCTCTTATAAAAGGGTAATTTTTTGGACATTTTCTGCCTGCAGTTTCCCAAAACAACCAGCTCAAAATAATATGCCAAAAAGGCACATTTTAGGGTGGCATATTCTGGTCTCCCGCAGTTGTATTTTGGTGTGGTGTGTCCTGACCCCCATTATCATCTATTCTTCAGCATCAGCAAAAACCTGGAGAACTCGACCATTGCTGAGGCTTATTTATAATGGTCAGCATCCAGTCTGGAAAACAGAACCCATGCCAGACAATAGAGGGCATATATTACGGAAAACAGTGGAAGAGGTGTTGGAAAAGTGAAAAGGGGGAAAAGGTGAGGCAACCTCTAGATTAAAAGCAAGAAGCCTTCATCTCTAGGGCTTCAGTAGATCCTTGCAGGCAAGATGTTCAACCCAGCTACTCTGTATTTCTCTAAAGCACTGTTGTACCTGTAACAAGGAAGAGAGAATGGAGGTATCTGAGGAATAAAGACTCACTGATAAAGTGAATGAGAATGAATGTAAGATCTGACCTTACATTAAGTCAGGAGTGGTAAAAGCAGCCAGGGGCAACACTATGAGAACGGCAGACAAGGGGGAGTGGCCTTGGAGAGGCCTGGGACTGCTCTGGCCAGGTTATGTGGTCTCCATCCACAGAGGTAAGGAATTGGGCTCAGAGCTCTTGGCTTATCTTAAGTGTGAAGGAGAACCAGGTGTGTTTATTTACATTTCTAGGAGAACAAGCTCTCTGGGAGGCCATTCTTGACATGCAAACTACCTGGGGGGTCTGGCGCCAGCATTTCTGGTGGCACTATTGTTGTTGGCAGTTCTCATTCCTCCAAAACACTTTTTCCCAGAGAGCATCAGTGAGGCCATAATTGAGGTAGGGAGTGAAGAGGCTTTGAAGAAAAATTCTCACTGTGCTTCAGAGGACTTAATGCCTATTTTCTGCGAGTGATATTTCAAGAAGATAAGGACAGATTCTAATTTCCCTTGATATCCTCACCTAACTTAATCTAAAGGGACAGATCTCAGCCAAGGTCTGCTGGTACTTTTTAGGGAAACGTTTCCATCATTCTCTGCATTGAGCTATAAGAAATGAAAGGTAAAAAAATCATTTGAGACAAGAGAAACAAAAGGAAATGATAGCTTTGTAAATGGTAATATATACTCCTACAGCATTGGTGTTCAAATACTGTTTCCTGCACTGTCAAAGCCAAGGTCAGGGATTTTATTTTATGCAAAATTGTAAATGATGATTCAGAAGTCATTTAGTTGATAGAGGAACCCCTCACCCTATTTACACTTTTCCTGTTCTCATTAACTTCTCCACCAGTGTTGCTACCATCATAATTCATTTGGGGGATATTGTGTGCTAGGATTTGTAAAACTGGTTATCTTTTTAAATAAAAATATTTGAGGTAAGATAGGTTGAAAAAGATGGCAAACAGTAAAATCCAGGGATTATTTGTGGATTTCATCATTCTGGGCCTATCCTATTCTTCTTAATTATCTATAAGCATTTATGATTATAATGCAAGTAATTTCTAGTTTCTGGAAGTTATTTTTATTTTTTTCTGGGCTTGAAATTACTTTTGAAATTCAGTAATTTCTTATCTGAAGAAAAATGTTCTTTTATCATAAATTCCCACTTTAGGATAAAAATGCTATTGAAGTTACAGTATTTACATTTTTCTGTGGGATGAAACCTTGCTTTTCATACTTTGAACTGGCATTTCTTATAGTCATAGTTATGGTGCTTGGGGAGAAAAACATGCAGAAGAAAAGGCCCCTAAGGTGTTAACCCCTTTCTTCCCCAGAGGAAGCCACACTGAGGAGTGCACACTTTGCTCATTTGGCAGTCTGGGCCCCATGAGCAGCCTAAATGCTATAATTTAAGGGGCCCTGGTCCTAATCTGTCCTTGTCCCTAGAGGCCTCTCTCATGCAAAAAAAAAAAAAAAAAAAGTCTTCTGTTTGATGTGCTACCTGAAATTCTGCCAATTTGTTCTTTGAATTATTGTCCTGGCCTTCTTTTTGAAATGCACATATCTCTGGGTGGGTTAGACAGTCATTGCCAGATAAGAATTGATTTTTAACCAGATTGATTTCTGTGGACTCTAAGGCTTCTTGGAGGTTATAATGGGAGACAACAAAGGACAGCATTTCTGGAGCCTCTGTGAGGCAGGGTTGGTGGGGAGAGGCAGAGAGAAAAGTGCCAAGGTGCATACAAGCAGCATGCAATACCAAGGAAGTCACCAGGGCCAATCTGGCTTATTGGAAATATTGCCTAGAGCATATCCAGCTGTTGATTGAACCATAACTACTTTTAGAAAGAATATCCTTCATTTGCAGAACTAGTAAAAACATCTTTGGAACTGCACTTCCAATTAATTCAATGACTGTTTATTAAGCCATTGTCGTATATGGGATATTGAGTAAGATTGTGTTGGCATTTACTGAGCACCCATTTATTACATGATATAATTTTTGCCTGTGCTATTTTACCTAATCTCCTCATCAACCCATTTTGCAGGTGATGAAACCTAAAGCAAGAGAAGTCAAGTTACCAGGTAGGGAGTGACAAACCTGGAATTCAAGTCTAGTTCTAGCCTTGTATTTTTAGAAACCATGTTTCTGAGCTTTTAATCTGGTCTGTGTGAAACTGCCTTGGCAAAAATTATGACAGTGAGAAAAACCTGACATAGGAAAATTATGACAAAGAGAGAAATCTGACCTAACTGATTTCCTCTTGCTTCTAACCCTAAGCTGCCCTTGTACATTCCTGGGAGTAGGCTAACAATAGGAAGAATTTAGTTTATAGTTTAACTTAGAAACAAATGTGACAAACCCCCTCCTAGTTTGTGGATCTGACTACCTTTGTAAAACTAACAAATTAGCCACAAGATTAGAAATTGTGGCTCAGGAGTCATGCAGCCAGAGGCCGCAAGATTCCTAACCTCCCCTGTTGCTCCTATGGATAACATCACTATTGTAAAACCTAACATTGGTGTTCGAGGTATTTTTGAGATCCTACGTTCTGATGGACCAGCTGGTGCCACATAGACTAATAAACTGCATCATCTGGTCTTGTAGGCCCCACCCAGAAATTGACACAGGACAAGAAGGCAGCTTTGACCACCCCCCATGATTTCATCCCTGACCCAACCAATCAGCATTCCCCATTTCCTAGGCTCCTACCTGATAAGCTATCATTTAAAACCCCTAGCCTCCACATTTTCAAGGAGCTGATTTGAGTAATAATAAACTCCTGTTCTCTTGTTTAGCTGGCTCTGCATTTATTAAACTCTTTCTGTATTGCAAAAATCCACTGTTCTTGGTGCATTGGCTTTTCTGAGCATTGAGCAAGATGAACTGTGGGTGATTACATGTGTGTCTAGAAGAGACCTAATATTATGTTGTGGGATCATCTTTCTGTAGAGCACATAGCACTTTTTAAAAAGCGCTGAGTACCCCAGAACTTAAAGCATATATATGTGTGTGTATATATGTATATATGCACTGAGTAATTACACGATAGGGAAATATCATAGAAAATCTAATGCCAGGTCTTGCGTGTCTCCCTTGGGTAAAATTATCTTCTATAATAAGGTCAGGTGAATTTTTTAGATGCAAATAACATGCACATGGGATATGAGAGATTACAGAACTCACAGCTGATGTATATATGTGCTGCTAGTTAAAACATTGAGAGATGGCTGGGTGCGGTGGCTCACACTTGTAATCCCAGCACTTTGGGAAGCTGAGGCAAGCAGATCACCTGAGGTCAGGAGTTCCAGGCCAGCCTGGCCAACATGGTGAAACCTTGACTCTACTAAAAATACAAAAATTAGCTGGTCGTGGTGGCAGGCGCCCATAATCCCAGCTACTCAGTGCAAAAAATCCACTGGAAGCTGAGGCAGGAGAATTGCTTGAACCCCGGAGGCAGAGGTTGCAGTGAGCTGAGATGGCACCACTGCACTCCAGCCTGGGTGACAGAGTGAGACTACATCTCAAAACAAAAGAAAACAAAACATTGAGAGAGAATTTGTTAAAATATTGAAGAATATATTTTTTTGCAAGCAAATATATTTAATGAAGCCATAATTCCATTAAGTGGAATATGAAGAACCCATATTTCAGAACAAGCCTGACAGAAGACTAATACTTTCAATAATTGAAGTATTTTTTAAAACTTTTTAAGGATAATTTTAGCATGCCAGTGCACAATAGAAATAACCTTATTCCCTGCTAATTAGAATGTGTAATTCTGAAAGAGGCATACATCATCTTAATTAGAAATAAGGTTTATGATGTTGTGATAATGGCCTTTGGTTTAATAATTTGCAGCAAGTTAATTTAGAATGGGAAACAGAAACCTGACACAAGACTGTTTCTCTTGCTTCTGGTTCAGGTCTTTTAGTCCACATGGTTTACTCATCTTTCAACTGCAAGGCAGCTTTGCATGGAGGATGGTAAGACTTTGGGCCAGCCCAAGTCAAGACTGAAGGAAGTAAGTAGTGGTCACATTGCTGAATCCTTCTCCTTTCCCTCTCTCAACTATGCTCCACCTCCTGGTGCTCTGGTCTTACCTGCTTTGCTGTGGGCTGGGTGGGAGTTTGCCAGTCATTGCTCTTTGGAGCACACCAGGCAGAAAGACACCTACTGCCAAATCCATCTCCTCCTATTCCTCCACCTCTCTCTTCCACTCTACTCAAACTCAGGAAGAGTGGCTGCTTCCACCTAGTTACAAGGAAAAGATTGGATTACATCTAGAAACACACAGAAAGGATGGGGAGTTTGTAGAGTTACCCAAAGCACCTAGCCTGGGGAGAGTGAGTGGAAATCCAGCTGTGCCTCACCTACCCTATCCTGTCCTTTTTTTTTTTTCACCTAGTGGCCCCACTGCCCTCAACCAGCATAGGATGTGGCTGTGTCACCCCAGAGGGGGACTTTGTGTCTTTATCTGCCTGGTGTTCTGCAGATACCATTTAGGCTCTGCCTAAATCATTACTGCAGTGACATAGTACTTTAAATAAAGATTTTATTCTTCGCTACAGGTCCAATGCACTATCCATTGTGCCACAGAGCCACTTTAAAGATTTTGTTCTAAATGCCCTTGTATGCATTCTCTCATTTAAAAATTACGATAGTCTAGTCACTTAAAATGGATCAGAGATCATTTATTTCTACTGTACAGATGAGGAAGCTGAGACTTTTATTGAGACTCCTTTTTCTAAGGTGCTAGATCTTGATTTTGAACCATGTTCTTGTGATTTTATGTTGTCCTTTCTACCCTTCCTTTGTTGGAATAGATTCACTGTGAAATGTGAATGACTAATAGTATTTTTAAAATTATTTATTATTAACTGTGCATACGTATATGAAAATATAGACAGTAGAATAATAAACTCATATCTATTATCCAGATTCAACAATTATTAGATTTGGTCAAAATCTGTAAGTAAATCTCAGGTACCATGGCTTTTCATCTTCCATATTTTAGTTTGTATGTCTTTAAAAAAATAGATATATTCTTGTGTAGCCACAATGCCATTATCATGCCTAACAAAATTAATAATTATTTTTTGGTATCATCTAATAGCCACTTCATATTCAAATTTCCTAATTTGTCTAAAGAAATTATTTTATTGTGGCTATGTTCAAATTGGGATTCAAAAATGTTTCCACTATATTATCCCTTCTTATTTTCAATTTTTTTACTTCTGTCTATTGTTTAGAAGCTTACTGACACATTCACCATCTTTGACACACATACACATACACACATAGACATATTTGCTGTTGGGGAATCAGGTGGCAGCTGGCATAGCCCTTGTGTTCCAAGAAGATGATAAGACCACATATATGGGAAACAGCAGTGAGACAGTGCTAAGATAGAATTGCAAGGTTAGGCAAGTCTTATTTATGCAGAAATATTCTTTTGAGAACCTGAAATATACCAGATTCTGTGCTATATGCTAGAGATAAAAGTGAAGATTAAGTTTAAAGTCAGAGGTTGGGAACAGACATTAAAATAAATAGCCATAAAGGGCATTATTGTACGTTGTCTTCTACTTGTTTCTACATGTCCTACCTTTCAGATTGACTTGCTTTTGGTACTGTATCTCTAAAATGAAAATTGTCTGTTCTCATTGTTCCTTCTCGTCGTTTTCACATAAAGCTGTGTGTTATTTTGGATAGTTCTAGCTTTATTAAATGAACAACTGAGGTCTTTGTTGTGTGTAACTGTAATCCTTTGATTCCTTTCACTATTATTTACTTTCATCTTTTATTATATTTGGTTTTTATTTCTTATGAAGGATAAAATTTGGATTAAGGCCTGTGATATCGAACATGCTGGATGGCTGTTAGAGAGAAAGCCAGCTGCTTGCCTGAACAGTTTTACAATAGTACTGACAAAATATTAATGTTGGTTTCTGCATTAGGTAATGCTAGCCATGTAGCAAATGTCTCCCAAAATGTACAGGTTATTTAGAGCCGCAGTTTTCTTATTGCATATAAGCTTATGTGTGGTAATAATAAAATATTATTACATGTTTCTTTTAGGACTTCTGTGAAGAAATAATACATATTGACACATTTTACAAATTAACTTGCTAAACTAGTGTTAGTATCAACAGCAGGCTCAGAGTTGGCAGTGGCATCAGCAGTAGTAGCAGTAGTAGTGGTAGTGGTGGTAGTAGTAGTAGTAGCAGTAGTAGCAGTAGCAGCAGTAGCAGTAGTAGTAGTGGTGGTGGTGGTGGTGGTAGTAGTAGTAGCAGTAGCAGTAGTAGTAGTGGTGGTGGTAGTAGTAGTAGTAGTAGTAGCAGTAGCAGTAGTGGTGGTGGTGGTGGTAGTAGTAGTAGTAGCAGTAGCAGCAGTAGCAGTAGTAGTAGTGGTGGTAATAGTAGTAGTAGCAGTAGCAGCAGTAGCAGTAGTAGCAATAGTAGTAGTGGTGGTGGTAGTGGTAGTAGTAGTAGCAGTAGCAGCAGTAGAAGTAGTAGCAGTAGTAGTAGTGGTGGTGGTGGTGGTAGTAGTAGTAGTAGTAGCAGTAGCAGCAGTAGCAGTAGTAGCAGTAGTAGTAGTAGTAGCAGTAGCAGCAGTAGCAGTAGTAGTAGTGGTGGTGGTAGTAGTAGTAGTAGTAGTAGTAGCAGCAGTAGCAGTAGTAGCAATAGTAGTGGTGGTGGTGGTAGTAGTAGTAGTAGTAGTAGCAGTAGTAGCAGTAGTAGTAGTGGTGGTGGTAGTAGCAGTAGCAGTAGCAGCAGTAGCAGTAGTAGCAATAGTAGTAGTGGTGGTGGTAGTAGTAGTAGCAGTAGTAGTAGTAGCAGTAGCAGCAGTAGCAGTAGTAGTAGTGGTGGTGGTAGTAGTAGTAGTAGTAGCAGTAGCAGCAGTAGCAGTAGTAGCAATAGTAGTAGTGGTGGTGGTAGTAGTAGTAGTAGCAGCAGTAGCAGTAGTAGCAATAGTAGTGGTGGTGGTGGTAGTAGTAGTAGTAGTAGTAGCAGTAGTAGCAGTAGTAGTAGTGGTGGTGGTAGTAGCAGTAGCAGTAGCAGCAGTAGCAGTAGTAGCAATAGTAGTAGTGGTGGTGGTAGTAGTAGTAGCAGTAGTAGTAGTAGCAGTAGCAGCAGTAGCAGTAGTAGTAGTGGTGGTGGTAGTAGTAGTAGTAGTAGCAGTAGCAGCAGTAGCAGTAGTAGCAATAGTAGTAGTGGTGGTGGTAGTAGTAGTAGTAGCAGCAGTAGCAGTAGTAGCAATAGTAGTGGTGGTGGTAGTAGTAGTAGTAGTAGCAGTAGTAGTAGTGGTGGTGGTAGTAGCAGTAGCAGTAGCAGCAGTAGCAGTAGTAGCAATAGTAGTAGTGGTGGTGGTAGTAGTAGTAGCAGTAGCAGCAGTAGCAGTAGTAGCAGTAGTAGTAGTAGTGGTGGTGGTAGTAGTAGTAGTAGTAGTATCAGTAGTAATAGCAGTAGCAGCAGTAGCAGTAGTAGCAATAGTAGTAGTGGTGGTGGTAGTAGTAGTAGCAGTAGCAGCAGTAGCAGTAGTAGCAGTAGTAGTGGTGGTGGTGGTAGTAGTAGTAATAGCAGTAGCAGCAGTAGCAGTAGTAGCAATAGTAGTAGTGGTGGTGGTGGTAGTAGTAGTAGCAGTAGCAGCAGTAGCAGTAGTAGCAGTAGTAGTAGTGGTGGTGGTAGTAGTTGTAGTAGTAGCAGTAGTAGTAGTAGCAGTAGCAGTAGTAGCAGTAGCAGCAGTAGCAGTAGTAGCAGTAGTAGTAGTGGTGGTGGTGGTAGTAGTAGTAATAGCAGTAGCAGCAGTAGCAGCAGTAGCAATAGTAGTAGTGGTGGTGGTGGTAGTAGTAGTAGCAGTAGCAGCAGTAGCAGTAGTAGCAATAGTAGTAGTGGTGGTGGTAGTAGTTGTAGTAGTAGCAGTAGTAGTAGTAGCAGTAGCAGCAGTAGCAGTAGTAGCAGTAGTAGTCGTGGTGGTGGTAGTAGTTGTAGTAGTAGCAGTAGTAGTAGTAGCAGTAGCAGCAGTAGCAGTAGTAGCAGTAGTAGTAGTGGTGGTGGTAGTAGTTGTAGTAGTAGTAGTAGTAGCAGTAGCAGCAGTAGCAGTAGTAGCAGTAGCACTAGTAGCACTAGTAGTATTAGTAGTAGTAGTTACTATGACTCTTGTCAAAATGTCAGTGAACCATCCTTGCTAATCTCTGAGCCTGGGTTTGTTGTCAGAATGCAAAGTTGAGAAAGAAAATCTGGTGATCTCATTCTTGTTTTTATATAGCAGTGATTTACTTCCTACAGGAGTCTGTGATTGGGAAGAATTAATGATTTGGTTCAGGGAAAGCCTGAGTTAATGAGAAAACTCTTCTGTATTCATTGGCCTCTGCTTTGTTTTATGATAGAAGGTGCCCTTGGGAACACTGCACTGGATACTAATGCATCCTCTTTTTCTGCATTCATTGCTAGATGTTATTTACGTTTATGCTTGTTTATTTTTCTTTAGTAGCCTCTGAATAGATTTATCTTTTTATAATGTATGGCACTTAATAATTACAGCTCTGAGCAATTTGTAAAAACATTTGCTGGACGTCTCTCTAAGTTCTACTACAATGTACATCAAACGAGTGAGCACAGGAACCACCAGGGGGACCTTAATAAATTTTTGTGTTCTAGGCCTACCATTACAGATTGAATTGTAGGTCTGAGAAACGTCTAGTCATCAGGGATGTTTGTTAAGTTTTTCTGCTCAATTAGCTGTTCAAATATGCATTCTTGTGACACATTTTTAGCGATTACCCTAGAAATTTTAAAATGCATTCCTGACTAACTATAAAATACCTTCCTTAAGTTTTACCCAAACAACGAAAAAGCTTATGATGCTCTAACTTTAGTTACTGCCTCTTGCTCTTTGTGCTATTGTAGTCATATATTCATATATTTTAATTTTTACATATGTGTTAATTCCCACAGAACATATTATTACTGTGTTTAAAGTAGTGAAAGTAACTTTTTTTTTTTTTGAAATGGAATCTCGCTCTGCTGCCCAGGCTGGAGTGTAGTGGCAGGATCTCGGCTCACTGCAACCTATGCCTCCTGGGTTCAAGCAATTCTCGTGCCTTAGCCTCCCAAGTAGCTGGGATTACAAATGTGTGCCACCATGCCTGGCTAGTTTTTGTATTTTTAGTAGAGATGGGGTTTCACGATGTTGGCCAGGCTGGTCTCGAACTCCTGATCTCAGGTGAACTGTTTGCCTTGGCCTTCCAAAGTACTGAAAATACAGGCATGAGCCACTGTGCCTGGTTGAATTTGACTTTATATTTCCCTTTCCTATTGTGTTTCATTTCTTCCTGTAATTTCTGTTAGCTTTCATCTGGGGTTGCTTTCTCTAAGTTGAAGAACTTCCTTTAGTACACTCACAGTAAAAGTTATTTCAGCTTTTGTTTGAAAACATCTTTATTTCACTTTTATTTTTTGAAGGATACATTTACTGGGTATAGTATTTTAGATTGGCTTTATTTTTTTTACCACCCCCCTTGCATCCCAGCATATTAAAAATGTTATGTCTTTGTCTTCTGGTTTTCAATTTCCTTTAAAAATTCAGCTTTCAATATTGCTGTTGCTCCTTTGTAGGTAATGCATTTTTTTTCTCTGACAGCTTTTAATATTTTTTTTCTTTTTTAAAATTTGGATTTTTATACTTTAATATTATGTTCTGGCATGGCTTCCTTTGTTTTTATCCTGCTTGGTGTTTACTGAATTTCTTGAATCTGCCAGTTGATGTCTTTCATCAACTTTAGAAAACAAAAAACTATTTTCTCTTCAAATACTACTTCTATCCCAATTTCTCTTTCCTTTCCTCTGGAACTCCAAATATATCTACATATTAAGCTTTTGACTGTCTTCCATGTATTTTTTATGCTCTGTTCTTGTCATTCTTCCTATTCTCTTTGTGCTCCTATATGGATATTTTAAACTGTCTTTTAGCTCACTAATTTTATATTCTTTTGTGCCCAGGTCACTGTTAAGGATGCCCAATTATTTAATCTTAGATATAGTATAGTTTTATTCTAGAATGTTTATTTTATTCTTGTATATAATTCATTTCTCTATTGAATTTTTTCATGTTTTTGTCTATTTTGCCCATTTCTTTTTCTTTATTTTCTTTAACATTTTAACTTAGTTATTTTGAAGTGTTAGTCTACTAAGTCCAACGTCTGGATCATCTGTGGGTACATTATCTACTTCCTTTTCATTTGATTTTGATCACATTTTCCTGCTGATTCATATGTCTGTTAACATTTGATTGTATTCTGGTCATTGTATCTAAGAGAATAGTAACAGCACTGCGTGATGCCTTTTACCAGGGAGTTCCCCCTTTTCCTCTACTAGATAGATAAAATATATTATCCTGTGGTAATTTTTCTGGCAACTCTTGTTTAAAACCTAAAATAATTGTGAAACTGTGCTACTGTGGTCTGTGTTCATATTAAAAATCGAGACCAAGCAAGTTTTGCCCTTCTTTTCTGTGGGCTCATGATTTGGCCTTGCACCCAGGGACTAGGCTGAGCCAGGGTTTAGTAAAAAAGTCAGTCTACTTTTGTTTGCTATTATTCTTCAGACCTGGTCTATCTATGCAGGCTTTTGATTCACATTTTGGAAGGTGTCTTACTTTGGCCTGCAGCTTTTTCCCTTTGAGGATTTTGAGGTGTTAACTCTTTAAATTTGCCTGCTCCCGGCAAATTTAAAATATGGGAACTGTCTTCAGGGAGAGACTAGTTGTATTATTGCAGACCCCTTCTCTCCAGTGGGACATTATCTTCAAGGCAAAAAGAGTATGTGGAGATTTCACTTGGCTTTTCTAGCCTAGCATCCTCAAGCCTCCAGCCTCCCAAGCTGTTTCAGAACATAGCAAATGATCAGTGGTAAAAATCAGTCTTGCATTTGGGTCTCCTCTAGTTTGCAGTCTTCCAGATCTGTGCAGACACCAAAGGCTCTGCTTGTTTCACTCTCCTTAGTCCAAGAGCCATGGGCCTCTTAACAGTGGCACTTATGTCTTGCCAAATGCCTCAAGTGAAAAAGATAGGTGACTGTGGTCAACTCCCCTAGGAAGTATTTACCCACCCTTCATTTTGGAATTCATCGTAACTTCATAGCCTCTAGAGAACTCTGGCATCTTAAAATAAAATTTTTTGCAATTTATTTACTTTTTGGTTAATGCAATGGGAATATTGGCCCTATATAACCTGCTTTATCCCACCTTACTTTTTTTTTTTTTTTAATGCTTTAAGTTCTAGGGTACATGTGCAGATTGTGTAGGAGGATTGTTACATAGGTAT